CTATTGGTGATGCCTATGCATGCACATCATCACATCAGAAAACATTAATCATTATTATGACACCATCTGTCAAATAGGTAGCCAGGCTGTAGAAAAGAAACATGCACAATCATGCTAAGCTAAGAATAGCTACATTGGCTATCTCTGCATACACATCAAAGACTGATGCAACACTACAAATCTGTAGTGTTCCCCAGAGATAGGCTACAAAATATACCATACACTCTTTAAAATTCATATTTGTAATTTGGCCTGAAGTAAACCTGTAGAAAAACATGTGTAAAACATAGATAGGGGTTTTGGAGTATATAAGGAGTGCGTGAGCAGGTCAAAAGGAAGCAATCACCCCCCATACCCTTTGTTTTGGAGCATAGTGACATAATAAAAACTCACAGGAGTCATAAAAGTCAATTGAAGTGGTGTTTTGTGTCAATAAAGAAAACTGTGATCAAGAACTTTGAATTTGCGAGACCAGGTTCCCTGAAAGACATACTTTGTTCTGTTAAACTATTTTAAACCACACCCTATAATAAAAACCCGTTTTATTATGAAAACTCTTGAGACTTACAGCACTTCCAGAAAGTAATGAGAATCATGTTTTTTTTCCCCCATGGCTTACCCTTTTTGGCTTGGGCAATGAAAAGTGTCTGAACATCATTTGAATACTCCAAAAAAATAAATTCTGCAAAGGAAACATCCTGAATAGATTCAGTAATCCTCAACAGATATTTGTTTTTGTGCTTTACACCATGTGTTGGTGTGATAATCTATGCCCAATGAAAGGTCAGGATGGCGTGAAGCTTAGCTAAGTGGTTCCCGGCAAAGCCCACTCCCTCAGTTGCTGTCTCGCCCTGCGACGCCCAACGAATCTATCAGACAGAAAGGAAAGGAAGTTCCTTTGCATGCAAAATGTGATTTTTTTTGTGTACAATAACATGATTTTCCTGAAATCTGAGGAAGCTGAGGAGAATTCCCAATTGGGAAATCATGAGAGAAAAAAAACATGATTCTCATTACTTTCTGGAAGCACTGTAACCTAAGAAGACAAAAGTGGTATTTCCTAATACCAAAGGTCCTCAAATTCTTTCACTGAGATTGTGATAGTGTGTGTATGTGTGTATGTGTGTATGTGTGTGTGTATGTGTGTGTATGTATATGTATGTATATGTATATGTATAAGTGTATAGGTGTTTAGGGTTTCCTGCTGCACTTGATCCTTGTTTGCGTATTTCACACTTTCACGGTCATCCCCGTGCAATGTGTATCAGTGGTTGTTGTCCATTGACGTGGTTGTCTTCCATTGATGTGGTGGTGGTACGTTGAGGTGGTGGTTCATTGACATGGTGGGGCTGTCCCATTGACAGGGTCGTGCTGTGGTGGTTGGTGATGTGGCGTTGGTTGATGTGTTGCAGTGTGTTGTGGTCATTGTTGGCAGTCGAGGAACATAGTGGGTGATGGTGGCTATAGGTGAGAGTAGTGACATGGTGTTGGTGGGTGTTGCAGATGATGGTGGTGGTTGAGGAAGAAGAGTGTTTGGTTTGTTGATGATGCCAAATCAAGCATTGGCATTGGCCAAAGCTTGTTTTAGGAAGGTAGATGCAAAGACGACATATACTGAACAATTGTTTTATGTTTTATAACAGCTACATGGCATAGTGGTAATGTTGATACTGTTTAGCTGTGTGACACATGCCAAGGCTTGGGTTCAATCTTTGACCATGCACTTATTTAGTAATACTCATGTAACACTCAGTCCTGTTCAGCATCACTCAGATCTGCTCAGTGCTGATCAGCACTGAGTAATGCTGAGTGGGGCCATTGCCAAGTTGCTTTCCAGCCAAAATGGCTGGGGAAGGAGGAGTTCAAATGCTGATCAGAACATGTGGGGCACAAACAAGACCTCTTTCTATGCAATCCGTGCAGCCCTGGTTTGAACCTGAAACAAGACTTTCAGGTGTGCTATTTCACTCAAAATTTAACAGTGCCTGTCCTAATATTCTTTCACTTATGAAATGGATGGTGGTAGGCTATAGCTGGCATGTATCAGTTATGTTTTTGGTCTTCAAAGACAGAGATTCTCCTTTCTCTAAGTCAACTTTTAGCCAACTTCTGATAAAAGTAGAAGTCACAAGTTGTAAATTAATTATCCTGAGATATATTACATTGTCTGTGTAGTGTTCCCTTCCTCTTCTTGCTCAATTTCTGTTGTTTCCAATATGTTTGAGAAGTTTGTGTCTGTTTGTCTGCAGCTTCAAACATGTCATCCAAGTTCATCCATCCACTTGTGATGAAAAATGAAAAAAATGGGCTGTGTTCTATGTGTAAAGTACTAAGATGCTTATGTTTCATTAAATTTCATTGTACAGGATAAATTCTGTGCCATTTGAGGTTTTGGGCACAAGGAGGCAACTATTTGCATCTATGTGGCAATGCCTTTACTGGCTACCTTTGATGGCTGTTTGTTACCTAGAAAAGGTCATCCAGAACATGACTTGGTGCATTCTCCCTTAGAATCATGAGCTCCTGCACCAGGGGCTACAGCCAGAGAAATTTGAGACATCCACTACCCCTTGTGGGGAGCCACTCTTGCTTACAGGGTCCTCGTACGCATTTGGGAGAGTACCCTCCCAATGCAGAAGGTTCCTGATTCATCACACTGAGTGTATATCAGTGGCTAGCTACATTGTGATCTACTATTGGAATATGTAGGAGGAGATGATGGTGGTAGTGGATCATCAATTGGGGGTGAGGTGTTTGTGATCACGATACTCAGTGGCTCATGCTGAGGCTGCTCAAGTGTCAGTAGTATTTGGTACTTGGAAATGGTGAAAAAGACACACCTATTTGCCCATCTAGAAGCTGTTGCTGAAATAAAAGCATCCTGGAGAGCCCTGGCCACCTCTGCATTAACCAAAGCAAGAGTCCTCCTTATGGCCATTTTTTTGCATAAAACCTTTCCCTGGTGGCCTGTCAAGTATGATGTATGTCAAGTAGTGGTCAAGGTGATGAAGTGGCCACATAAATCACACTAGTACTGTACACACTCCTTGTTGCTGTCCACATCACAGAAGATTGGAAATCGGATAAGCGATGTGCCATCTTCAAGCCAGTAGCTCAGACTTTCTGGTGGATCGAGGAGCACTGTGTTGCGCACTTTTGGAAAACCTGGCATGCTGGATGTTTTGAGAAAGCTAGGTGATGGCAGATGCACTAAGTGGTCAAACTTGTTCGAAGCAACAGATGAGATAGGATGAGATACAATGTATATTATTGCTTATCTATGATGGCTACCTTCCACATTGGGAGGGTGCCCTCCAAATCTGGATGAGGACCCTGTAAGCAAGGGTGGCTGCCCACAAGGGGTAGTCATCAGCAAAACAACATCTTTCTTACTAGTCCTTACCTGACAAGGTAAGATTCATAAGGTCAACAAGGTTTGTCAGATTCCTACTCACCTTGTATTGCCTGCTAGCTGACAAAAATATGACAAGATTGTGCCCAAGTTGGTGGGATATGACCAAATTACACCCAGGTCGGTAGAAACATGCCAACTTGGGACATGAATATATGGTTTGAATATTATTTTTTACAATATAATGTAGACCAACTTGATATGGGTATACAACACAATATAAGGGTCAGTAGGTTGGCTGAGCAATGTAAGGCTAGGCTAGTTAGTCTGACCTTACATGCCAACAAGGGAAAGTTCAAGTTCAATAACAATATGTTCTGAATTAATACAGCAATGTGACAAATAATTAACATGATGTTACGAGAGCTGGTAGGCTGGCGGAAGGGCTGCTCAAGGCAGAGCAATTACAAGGAGTCCAAGTTGAGTGTAAGTGAGGAAATGAAATGCAAGAACAAATAAGTGGATACTGGAGCAAGTAAAAGTGGAGAGTCAGTGAAATGAGCACATCAGAGCACAGAAACAGGTCTGTTGGTCCAGTGTCCTAATGATGTTGTCCATTACTGAACAGGAGGAAGGAGTTGGTGACGGGCACTTACAAAATTTCAAGGTCTATCTCTTACACATGTCAAAGGAGGCCTGTGTTCAAGCTGAATCGTCTTCTTCATGTGAGGACATTTTGAATGTTGGTTGCTCTCTTCTGGAGGACTTGAAAGAGGAGATGAAAGAAGGGAAGGAGAAGAAGGAGGGGGGTGAGACATGATTGTTGATGAGTCACACCATTGGATTGGGCAGGGCCTCGGTTAGCAGTAATTGGACATTCATTGACAGTGACTTGTTCAGTTTGATGAGATGGTGGGGAAGTTGGTTGTGTTTGATTTGCAATCAGGGAGCCAGACTGAGGCTGTCCTCCAATCAATATGTGTCAGCAACAATTTGAAATCAAACACGATGCCTAACTGTAGTGTCATCCTCTTCCTCATCAGATGGTGGGAGCTGACTGATCCCAGATGAAAATCACGGCTGGTTAGTGGGAGAGTCAGCATAAATGTCATCATCATTGTCATTGGCAGGAGGTTGTGCAGGTTTTGATGTTTTTGATCTTACTGGTTTTGGCAGTTTTGATCTTGCTGGAGCTCCAGATACATAGGCTTCTTGTTGTTGTTTTAGCTGTTGGACAGAAACACACCATCATTTAGCCGCCAATCTTTGTAGTGATAGAGAAACCAAAAAACCTGAAGTTTTGCTAACATTTTGAATGCATATGAGAACTATAGATGACTTACATGGATGGCAGCATATGCAATGGAGGAAGCAGTAATGTTTTGCAAATTGTGGAGCTTTGCCTATCATGCTTTGGCTGCCACACCCCCATGTGTTTGTTTAAGAGCCAATTTCAAGCCCTGAAAGACATGCTGCTAGTGTTGCCGCAGTTTGGTCAGGTCTGGTTACAGTCTAGTTTTGCAGGTTTAGGTAATGGATTGATGGCTAAGCCAAATCAAACTGGGTAACAAGGTTTGGTTTCTCTGTAACACTGGTTCAAACCAGTAAACCATCAGTTTCAAGCCTAATATGGAAAGCAAGGTGTTATCTACTCTACAGTTGCCAGTAAAGACTTAATATACACATTAACATCCTCCGGAATGGCATTCTCTCCATCTTGGATGGACTTAATGAACTCCAGGACATCTTCCTGAGATGTTCCCTGTGTGAAATCTAAGGATTGACCGGATTTTAGAGAAAACTTTAGCATCTGCAGCATTTCCATCAAGTCCTCGCCAATTCGGTTTCAATGATGGGTCATGGCCCCATTTGCAGATGAAAACACTCTTTCACATGGAACAGCAGACCCTTGGATTGCTAGATAGTCTAAGGCTGCCAGGAAAAGAGTAGGATAACGAAGTTGATTTTCTTATATGTATCTCAATACGGTGATACCTAAAAAGGAGGGAAAGCAAAAACACATCTGCCAATACATGAGATTGCTTGTTCCTGTTGATGAGTCATTGAGGTAACAATTGATTTTGTCATCCAGGGAACTGTTCCTGTGTGCATCGCACCTTGACAAGCCCAAAATGTCATCTGCTGTCCAGTGAGCCAATGAACCTCAAATTGAGTGGCCCTGGATGGCTCATGATCGAAGAGGGGTATCATCAGTAGTGGCAATGCTGGTGCCAGTTCTGGTGGGTCGGTTAATGTGATGGGTGCACCTGACAGGGGTGATGTAGCAGTGCGCCTCTGGTAATAAGGAAGAAGCTAGACGTAGCAGATATCTTTTAGTTTAATGGTAGCACTGCATTGAATTAATGACGCACTGTCTGCCGAGGTCTTAGTGATGCCCTACATATTCCTGCCGGATTCTGGTCATTCCGGTGGATTCCGGTGCCATTCCAGTGGAATCTACCAGCCAAAATTTCACTCCAGCCACGGAATATTGTTATTCCAGTATTTACACTGGAACAGTCCCTGGAATGGACCGGAACGGAATGGCACTGGAATGCAGTGACTGGAATGAACACTAAAAATTGCCAAATATGGCAAGTTTTGTATTTTCAGATAAAAATTAGCAATAGAATCAGAAAAAAAATAGGGATGGTGGTAATGATGTTGGGGTACTGTGTACATGGTCTGTGCGCATTTCCTAATATGGTAATTAATGCAAATATAACCAGAAAATCAGGGGGAAAAGAGAAAAAAATAGGGATGGTGCTCACTATTGGTGATGTTGTTGGGGTATTGCTTACATGGTCTGTGCGCATTTCCAAATATGGTAATTAATGCAAATATAGCCAGAAAATCAGGGAAAAAGAATAAAGATGTAGACTGTTGTTGACAATGTTCAAGTAGTGTTTACATGGTCTGTGCACATTTCCAAATATGGTAATTAATGCAAATATAGCCAGAAAATCAGGAAAAAAAGAGAAAAAAAGAATAAACATGATGTAGACTGTTGTTGACAATGGTGAAGTAGTGTTCACATAGTCTGTGCACATTTCCAAATATGGTAATTAATGCAAATATAGCCAGAAGATCAGAAAAGAATGGGAAAAGGTATACACTTGGTGTTAACTGTTGTTGACAATGTTGGAGTAATGTTTACATGGTCTATGCACATTTCCAAATATGGTAATTAGTGCAAATATAACCAGAAAAACAGAAAAACAGCAGAGACATGATGTTAACCATTGTTGACAATGTTGGGGTACTGTTTACATGGTCTGTGCACATTTCCAAATAGCTGTTGTCAGGTTCAGGGTACATATCCAAAAAAGGAAATTTAAGTATTTCTAGTAAAAGAATAGCAGAAAATTCACAAAAAATAGAGTTAGTATATGCAGTGTATACAATATGAGGCACTGCCTTCAGGGTCCATGTCAGGGTCATTTATATATACCCACAAAAGAAAATATGATCTTGTATGACCAAAAAGTCAAGAAATTCAAGATAATGAGGATTCTGCTTGTTAGGGTTCATTCAATGGGATGTCAGGATGATGGTCACATGACCAATTATGAAAAATGGTCGAAAATGAAAGTTGTAGCCCTGCATTGTAGCTTCCCAAATTGGTTGAATTATGTTCTACAGTGCTCCTATTGTGGAGATATGAGGTAAAAGATTTTCAAAAGTGTCACATTTTTTTTTGTTTTTTGTATTTTTCTCCATGAAAACAACACCAAACAATATGATTTCAACACATTTACAAAGCTAAGAGAAAGGGCTACAACTATTGTATCATGGGAAATTTGACCCAAAAAGGAAGATGCATACCCTAAAAGGGATAATAACACTGACAAACTACAAAAGTCAGTTTATATACACACATTTGTATTTACAAGCACTTATACATGTCCCTTCTGTCAGAATCTGGTGGAATCCAGGCCCATTCCAGAGGATTCCGGTCCATTCCTGTGGATTCTGGTCCATTCCTGTGGAATCTGATGGAATCCAGCAGAATGGACCCATTCCTGCAGGAATATGCGGGCATCAAAAAGTACTGCAGTTGCCGGTTGCCTCATTTCAAAAATCTTTTAAAACCGTTCAAAGACTGGTTTTGATCGGTTGCAACCGGTTAAATGGTCACATGTGTTACATAGCCTTGTAACCACATTTATTACCTTTTATTGGGTTTTTGTTTCATCAAAAACAGTTAAGAATTGAGAAAGATATAACCAAATCCATATTTTACCTGAGTCTCTAGGAGATGTAATTCGGTTTCAGTCATAGCTATGTCAAATCTTCATTAAATCTCTTAAGAATTGGTAGAATGACAGGTATTTACATGCTTTACTATTTTATATAACCTGTTTATTTTTCAGAGTAATAATAGTCAAGATACAAATGGTTTATATTGGTATAATAAATTATACACAAAAAAACCAGTCTGGATCAGTCTGAACCGGCTCCATAGACTGCAAAAGACTGGTCCTAGGTGGTTTGGTTTGGTTCCCTCAATATCTGGGTCAGTCCTAGACTGGTTGCAGTCCATGGTTGCGCATTTTGGGGGCAAAAAACCGGACTGAACTGAACTTGCGAACACTAAATAGGACTCATCATGCACTTTTTCTTGAGACTTCCTTGCTATATTTTACTTCTTATGAAACACCAGCACCCACAAAAAGAGGTGAGTATGAACAAGCTTGTTGTTGCAACTACTGGAGCCCATGGGATGATATGGAAGTATGGCACCATGCCTTGTAATGTGTGTGTGGTGTGACGGTCTAATGGTGTGATGGTCTAACAGGCTGCCTTCTCTGCATAACATGTGGTGTGCCTGATTCCTGAAGCCGCAAGTTCAATCCTGCAGGTATACTTTCCAACACTTCAATTCCATGCCAGGTATTTTTGAACAATGTTGCCACCTTTCTTAACTGACATGGTGACTCCCTTCCCTTGCCTTGTAACCTTGGTTCCAACTTGATTTTAGAATACCTGATTTACATCAACTTACAGCTAATTTCAAATTTATGCGGAATCCCAAAATCTTTTTTGGCTGTTTGTACCTATTAGCTTTAGCTGGCTGGGACTCCGAACCAACAGTCCATGGTTGTCGTTCTTGTTTGAACTTTGCACCCACTCAGTCATTGTGTCTACATATCAAGTTTCTTTTCATTATGGTAGACACTCCTGCTAGTGGTGAACCTACTGGAATTGATCTTTCCATTGTTGCTCACCTCACATTCTACAAATCTGGCACCATTGGCAAAGGCAAGAAAGAAATCAAGGCAAAGACCTTCAACCACAGCTTTTTGAAATTCAAGACAACTATTTGAAACTCCCTACAGCAATCTTAGAGAAACACCTTGTGGAGAATAAGTATAAAGTCACTGCATGCAATGTCTATTCTTGCAAGATGTAAGTCCATCCTGCGGCAGTGCTGCCAAGTACGTTTACTTTATCCTCACAATTCCTGTCCCTAATCCATTTGATGATATTTAGTGCTGAAGATGTTCTGCATCTCAAACAGGCACCATTGTGGTGGAAAGTGAAACCAGAGTGCCTCAACATGTTGCCATGAAGCTGCAGGAAACCCCTCCTTTGAAACATGCTAGTACCCCGAAGGCAGATCTTGAACAGTTTTTGGACCAGGCACCTGCCACCAGGGAAGGCGACATCAGCCCTGATGCAGACTTTACCTGGTATTTCTATTCAAAGAACTTGAAGATGACTCTTTCTCTTCCATGTAGTCTAGTTCCAATTCTCAATGGTGAAGAAGAAGACAACAGCTTATAGCCCTCTAACTAGGTTTTTCTTTGTGTTCAGTCTGGTGTTCTCTGTTGACCTCTCAACCCAGAATTGCTTTCTCTTCAATTGAACCCTTATTGTAGCAAGGATTGATGTATCTGTAACAGTGCTAGATGCCCGAATTGTCCTACTTAATCCTAAAGTCTATAGAAAACATTCAGACCATGTAGGAGATCTTGGGATACAGTTATGGTAGAAAGAACTGAACTCAAACAAAACTAAGTTAGAGGCATGTTAGAAATTGCAGATGTGAAAGTATTATGTCATTTGATTCTGGGGTCCTGGGCTCTGTTTTTTTTTTTTGGGAATTCCGCATAGATCTGAAATCAGCTGTAATTGTACCATACCAGCATAAGACCAAGTTATTTTTGAATAAAAGAGACAACCAAAATTACTCAATGTTACATTGTAATCCCAAGCTCGACATTTATTTTCGGACTTTACCGGGACCACAAGTTATTACCAGGGTAATGTTGTTTTGCTGATGGTGGACGTCTCGGATTTCTCGGGCTGTAGCCCCTTGTCGGTTCTCCGCCAGGTACCTCCAAAGTGCAATGTTCCCCAAGTGCACCCTGATAGAGCAATAGCACAATTCTGGCATGCCAACATGAAATAGATCACAGCTGGTAAGTGCCACTGCGAGGAGGTCGGCTGGGGAAGATATGAACATCAGGAGGTGGGTGTAGATGTCCAGGTTCAATGCCGTGGTCATTGTCAAGTTTTCCCTCGCATCTTTCATGGTTTAAGTGGAGCGCCGTCTGAAGCTTGGGGTGATGAAAGTTCAAAGGACCCTCCGCATCCATGAGGTGAGGTGGTTTATGACAAGATGGCCCTGACGACCAAACCGATCCGAGAAACCACAATTACTGGATAAAAGAAAGTTCTAGTATAAACGTGTATGGGAATCCATAAAACACAAGACACAACCAAGGCGGACATACGTGGACTCTAGAGGCCAGGCCTTGGACAGTATTACTGTATGCAGTATTATATGGTATGGGCACGGTGTTGCAAGTTATATCTGAGCATCATGCAAGTGTGATCCTTGTGAAGCTGCGCGGCTCTCTGCAGCTAGATCTTTCTGGCAACAAATCTGAATTACGTTGGTCCGCATTGAGAACAAAAGGTTACCACAAGGTCAAGCAACTCAACTAGATTTGGGATTGGCAGGAAACCACTGTCCAACATCTCAACTTGAGTGTTCACAACACCCCAACTTTAAGCACACTTTGGTGACATGCCCGCGGTACCAACTGACAGCAACGTGAGGACCCGTGGAGTCTCTTCGCGAATACTACAGGCTTCAATCATTGGATCCGCGATAGAGGCGAGCCCTGGACCCAACGAGCCTACAATACTGTTCATCCACGCAGTAGAAGCAATGAATGGCTTGACAGCTTTGACGGCCTCCAGCAAAGCAGGAATGTTGAATGCGAATACCGCCATCAAGATGTCTGAATTAGCCGTTTGGAAAAAGGATCGAAAGGAGCCAATCGCAGAGTTCCACCTGGGCAAGCGATAACTACTGCCATAGCTTAGGAGATAGGAAACCAAACATACGACACATCAGCGAAATGGTCAAGTTGACAAGAGTCAAATTGCTGCCGGTTACGGGAGGTTCACCTCCAACTGAGAGGACAGGGTTCTTGAATGCGAATCAGTCAAGAACGCTCATGATGAAAGCAGTTGACCGTACAGCAACACACAGCCCCAAGTACGAAGTCTTTGGACTAGCTGAAGGGTCTGGCGTGGTTGGGAAGGTACTTGAATTCGAAGGGAGCCTTGGAAAGCCCACATGGTCCCCAACACCGCCCGACATCACGGCAATATGATTTGAGTTCCACTGGTCCAAAGCAGCGGAGAGCAACACTGGGCTCACGCAGGTGGTTACTCCAGTTGACGTTACCAGAGCAATTCGTCCATCAGAAGGGGTTTTCAACGATTACGGGGATATGTAGAGTAGAGCCTCCAGCTCGGCTCAAGCGCTGATTACAGAGAGAGTCATAGGAGCAGAGGTGTGTCATTTGAACCTGCGCTCTCCTATTGCTTCAATAGAACTGAGGATGCAACTAAAGAGGCAACGGTTTCGGCTTGAGGTGTGCCAGCCTCACGTGTGGTCGGTAACACCACCAGGAGTACAAGAAAGACGGGGCCCATCGATTGACCAAAAGGCAGATGACGTGGAAGTCGACTGGGAGGGGACATACCTCGTGATGATGGATAGTTGCAAGGTGGGAAGCAAGGATATAGAAGTCGACTGGGAGGGGGGCTATGTCGTAATGACGGATAGTTGAATTGTAGAATATAAATATTGAGGTCCTGATGACGGCTGTACAGCACTTCCGGAAGGAGATGTCATGGTGGTGAACGGAGAGACCCAGAACAAAGACCAGTATTAGAGGGTGAAAAGATGCATGAATAGAGGACGCCAAGGAAAGTTTGGGTGCGCCCGTTGGCAACCAGTTTGGACGGATTGGTGAAGTATCGATATCGCTTTGGCAAGAACCGGATGCGGGAGTGGAGGGGCTTGACTTCTGGGCCTGTCGTTCCCGGGTGTGACAGGTCAAGACCAATACGTGGGGAGTTGTATATCTTCAAGCCGGGGCTGTGAGGGGAGTGCTTGAGATAGAGTTTATAAGATGGGGTATCGGCGCCAGGATTATCACTGTGGATAAAAGCAGTCCTCTCTCCTGCCCACTTGGTCTCAATCAACTCGGAAATGGAGGCTACCCTGCTGAGTAAGAGGATTTGGTCGACTAAGAGAGAGTGGCCTGAGATCACTTGGGGCTTTGGACCGAGTTTGCGGATGGATCTGAGGAGAATGCCACCGCGTGGCAAGGGTGGTATTTCCATGCTGGAAGACAAGTTCGATGGCCCAGGAGCACTCGGAGTTGTAGCGGAGGGTGCGAAGTATGGAGACGTGGTGGTGATGGATGGAGAGGGGCCACCAATGGTCACATCCATACCCTTCCTCGAGCCACCTCTGTAGCAGTCCGTTAGACTGGTAGCGCTCCAGTTTGAATCTGCGGAGCGACGTGGAGGACGATGAAAGTACCTGTCGACGATTGAGTACACGAGCCCAAATCCAGTTAGAATCATCGAGGACAATGCTCACCACCGCGCACAGATTTTCTGTTCCTCGCCTCCATGGGGGTCCTCATGGCATCCAGCTTTCTGCAAATAAAAGTTCAGCTCTAAAATCTGGAACTCCGTTTCCACGTTTTCGCATTTTAGGACAAAGTGAAAGTCGCGTAGAAGGGCGTTGGCTACGACATCAAAGCGCGCCTTTATGCATTGCTCGTCGGAGAGGTGCGAGAAATCCAGTAGCTGTTGAAGAGACTCTGTAGTGATGGAGTTGAGCTGGTTGCGGTCATCGTTCGATGTGATGCTGTGGTCACCGGGTTGCACGTTGAACCCCTGGTTAACTTTGCATTTCTTCGCGACCGCAGCTACCTGGATATCGTCTGCGTCAAGAGCCCTTTTGTTCATCTTTGACGATGACAGTCGAAAGCAAAATTTAGGTAGGCTTGGTTCTAGCACGGAGAAGGCGGGCGAGAGGCTTGAGTTGTATGGGAAATCTTTGTCGAATATAGCTCGTCGAGCAACTCTGGTACGAAAGTCTGCTTCCCAGAATTGCCGACATATGCCTGAAACCGGGGAACTCTCGCTCCTGCCAAAGAGTGCGATCCACACTCCGACTAGCGCGTCAAATTCGGGAACAACTTCAACGGGAACAAGCTCCACGATCGCCATGATGAATCCTGTCGAGGTCAAGGTCAGCTAAGACGATAAAAAGTCATGAGGAGAAACGAACCCTTCAAGACAGAGCGGAACGCGACTGCATTGGGCTTTGATATAGATGAACCAGTCTTCCAGGAGACAGCCGTAACGGACAAAGGGGAGTTTGTAAGAAGATTGCCGAGGAGGTTGTACAACCCGGTTTCTGGTTCAAGACATTGGGACATGCAGTGGTTCACGATTGTGAAGCTGGGATATGGCGTTTTGGTATGAGGGTGGAAGCTCCTTGATTTCCGCAGCCTTCGAGTGCAAGCGAGACAGGACATACGTCCATGCTAAGTAGGTGCAACAGCATTGACTCCCTCCGTGAGTGGTCACCGGCTCGTGAGTGCGTTTAAGAGAGGGAGGGGATGACGTGTAGTTATCCGTATCTTCGGAAAAGTCTAAAGATCTCGGTGGTGATGAGAATTCAAATTCCAGCATAATCTTGTTGCATCTGCCTGCTTTCCTCACCCAGAAAGAGGGTATTGTTCGCTGGCGTGGAACCTAGACAGGTGCCGTATGCAGCTTCATGGATCGTTACCACCAATGGTCCTGTGCACTGAACGTAGTTGAACGTCGCCCAAAACAGCACGTCCAAAAGCACCGATCGATCCTTCAACGAGTGCTTCGCCCAGCGTGCAGCCTTCTTCGGATCCCCGGTTAGCTTCAACGGAAACACCTCCTTCGTTTTCGGGAAGAGTCCCTCTGTAACCTTCATGCCATCAGGCAAGCCTTGGGTATATGCATTCAAGGGCGAAGTCGTGTAGGCCGTGATCTGAGTCGTCCGTTGCGTTAAACAGAGGAAGGAGGACGCGGAAAGTGTGAAGCCGTTCCGCGTCATAAAACAGCGTAATGTTCTCGGCACGTTCAGCAGCAATGGCCTCCAGAGAACCACCACCAGTTGGCCCAGAGAGTCCTTGGCTGTGATGAACGTGCGAACGAGGATGCAGGCTTGTGCTTCGTCCATCTGGAATTTATCGCTGACATCGAAGATGCACTCCTTTTGCCATCGTCAACCTGAATAACCTCGCTATCTGGCAGTGGGACCGAACCACTTTCTATTTCTTCCTCCTTGACGCGTCTGATGGCTTCCCAAAAACCTGCATCACACGTCTGAGCTTCGTCATGGGGTACTGATCCAAATGGACTGCATCTTGTTGGGTCAAGATTTCGTGCAGGCTACCATATGTTCTGTGAATAAAGGACTCAGTAAGGCCTCAAATGAGCAATATAGCCTCTTACATGTCGATGATATCGGACCGTTGGATTCCAGTCTGGGAAGCAGGGCTCGGAGGGGGTGTCGTACCGTCAAGAGAAGCGAGCGGCTGGGTGAGATAAGTGGAAATGACGATGAGCTTGGATTCGAGGTTGGGATGGAAAACGAACCGACTGAGACGCAGAAGGAGAACAGGACGAATAAAGTAGAAATTCTCGGGGCTGGGACGTTCTTTCCGCAAGCAGGGACTCCAGGAAGTTTGGAAACCGAAAGAGAATTGACTTCCGTCTTCCCAGACCAACGGGGCATCGTACTTCTCATACGGGGGCTCGTTTACGGTTTCTAGGCCTCCATCCAACCTCCATCGGTATTGTTAGAGAAAGTCTAAGGTGGACGAATAGTGTAGCTCGGATGTTGGGTTGTAGAGATAGGATTTTATGAGTGTTTCATGCGTAGTCGTTCAGAATGAGAATGAAGAAAGTTTTGCAAAAGAACGCATGCGGGTCGTGGGTTGAATGCCACTCCCATCATTGCTCGTAAGTACCGCCTACAACATTCTTTTTCACTTGCTCTTCAGCTGAAACGGGGCACTCTTAGACACTCTTGTGTGTCAAAACTCTCCATATAGAATGAGCCAAGTTAGTGCCCTTCCAGGTTCCATGGGCAACCGACTTCACACCGTAGCTCTGAAAGCTGCTGTCCCCACACGTTGTGCAGAGTCCACAGTCGTTGCGTATGTCAATCTTTTTTACAGAATTGTCGTCCCGTTCTCTAATGATCCTTCTGTAGGTAACGACGTCACTTGACTACCTTTTCCTCACCCTCTTCCAGACAGATCCACGACGAACCCGACGGGGGTCATGCGGTCGACCGGCGTCAACTTCGCCCAAGCCTCGTCCGTCGTTGTTTGACAAGCCCTCTGATGGATTCGGCCGCTGAGAGGGAGGTTCATGACTTAGGAAAAGCCGGGTACGATTGGACCATTTGAGAGATTTCGTTGATGACAAGGATACTATGACTTTGGGCTATCAGTGAGTTTACTTCGATTTCATACTCGTAACTCCAGAGGGCTGATCTTTCGTTGCAGGGTTCTTCGTGCCCAGTGAGGATGGGCATCACCGTGAATACGTCGCTCCGAGTGATATGCGACTAGAGATGATCTCAGGGTGAGTCCTCCTCTTCTCTCCTCTTCTGGGGTCCAACTCTGACTTCCTGGATCAGCGGGCCAGGCGAAGTCGACGTCCGAGTATCCGATCACCGACTCACGGTCCTGGCTACAAGCTCAAGCTCAAGGGCTATCTTCCTCATCAAAGACGGACTTCCACGGACCTGCGCATACAACGACCTTCGTAAGTACTGCCATCCCTTATGGCTTCCATCGCGCTCTTTGTCTGCCTACTGACATGGAGCAATGTTGACAATAGGTCTTGGTGCGCTCACGACCTGGTTGCGAACAATTCCGACCTAGAGGAACTAGAACACATCGCTAGGTCCATGGATATCGACGCATCCGGAAAATCCTGACAGATGGCTGTTACATAGGCTCCCTCCCCTCTCAGACCCAAAGCGTCGATGACACATGCCCTTCCATTCAACTCCTCCCACACGAGCTTGGATCCCACGATTATTAAGGAATCCACTCGCTTGCAAGTCAACGCGACCACCATCTGGGAGGGATTTAGGCTGTCATTGAGGATTAACTAGTGAGGATCGTGACGTGGCATATGAGACTTTCTGCAGAGGACAGTGTACCATTCGTATGAGCGAGTTATGGCCCCTCTCAAAAGTGGATTTATCAACCCACTTCCGCTCCCATTCCTCCTCTGAGCAACGAACGCGACCGCTTCATCCTCTTCTTCCCCTAGACACCTACTTCTACCCACCCCACCGCTGCTCCATGACACGGACGTAGGACGCATATACACCGCTTCCAATCGCTTTTGGTCATTCATGCTGCTTCACTTACACCTGCTGCTGTATCCCGCATTCCCATTACCAACGCCAGAACCGTTACGTTTGCGTCCTTTGGCGTGAATTTCTTAGGCAAAGGGAGTACGTATATCTTACATCTGTCATCCACAAAAGCCTGATCTCATGCGTGAATTGACAATGCAGTAGGATCGTCCGCCAATCATAATTTGATACGAGACGGTCCCATTTGTCGAATGCCTCCCCAATACCAGTCCTCGTCATCGTAACTCGTTGTGAACGTAGGAAGTAATAGCAAGCGGCACTGTTTAACGAGTGCCCGATGATGTTCTGGGAGGTATCGATATTACGATTGACATTGTAGTTCTGGTTATAATTTGAGTATCGCAACACGGATCCGTGAAGCTACAGAGTCAACCTGGGCAATGTCACGAATATACATCATCGCTCATTGCAAGTAAGATGGTCAAACATCGTGGTTCTTCGACCCCTTCTTCTGGAGCAAAAGCAGAGCATCCCCAAACAAACCTATGCACGATTGTTGTGAGTACTAACCCTAAAAACACTCAAGTATCACTGACCTACGGGCAATAGCCACGCCCCATCCTCCATCGAAGTCGCAGTCCGCGTGAGAAGGGACAAGGTCCCTCCAATGAGTTTTGGTGTTTCTCGCCCTAAGCCTTTGTCCTCAGTAGTTCGATAAAGGCTGAAAAACGATTGGAAAAGAAGGGAGGTGTCAGTAACCATCGTCGTCGGGCGCGTCCAATCCAAACTTACAAGAGCCCAATCAGCGATGGGTACAACTGTATGTGTCACGTTGCGGCAGCCCATGGCGACGACGAGCTGCGAATGAGTACGCACGACGGGGAATCTACGCGGTGTGGACGCTGGGTCCAGAGACAACGATTGCTCGTATTACAGGCAGAGATTGGGACCATTTGGGCGGTATGCCATATATGTAACGACACATAGAACGTTGGAGATAACCGAGAAGTTCTGAGCGCTGAGCGAGCTTTGGCGGAAGAGAATGACCGAAGAGCCACATAGCTGGGCGCAACCTCAGACGATCGATGTATGTGAGAGGTCCGCCTGCGGCACTGGCAAAGAGTTGATGTTGAATCAACGAGCTCGGTATGGGGGCGAGTTCGTTAAAAGGGCTAGACCATGACGATATCTCCTTCGTGAGTCGATACACGAAGGGATGCAAATGGCCGGGTCGTGCGGGCCATGGTGGATGTAGGAAAGACGGTAAAATCATCGAAGGGGGGCTGGCGTTGGTGTTGTAAGATCAGCGCCTGTGTAACGAACGGGGGCAGTCAGCGAGGCGAAAGATCGAATATATGCAAGGTGATAAGGAATTCAGAGGCTGAGGAAGGGAGAAGGGTACGAATGAATATGTAACGCAGGGTGACAACGTACCAAAGGAGAGACGGCCGCTATCCCTATTCTCCAGATCTCTTGCGCTTATTCCAGTAGATATCTCTGTTTTGCGATCTTGTATTCCATGGACTCGTAGAGGAATTTTAGAAGACCGGAACAGTCACAGAGCTATCAGTATATTAGACTAACGGTGGCATGCAGAAGAAGAGGGGATGGGGAAAGTTTGACTGCGGAACAAAAGGGGAGAATGGTAATGTAGAGAGGGGAGTAAATATAATGGAAGGGAGAACTCACTCAAAGCTGGTGCACTCGAACATTTTTGCAATGAAACCTAACTCTTTGGGCATCCTCTATATCTCAACAAGCTATCTCTATACGAAAGCGACCACCGGGTATCGTTTGATTGCAGCGGGAGGTCGAGTAAGAATCTCCAGGCGATGTCGGCGGTAGCTCAACAACCCACAGAGGAAACATTGGATGATTTGTCATGCAACCCCGCTCGACGAGGGGGTTTGCGGCAGGGTCTATGGGTACTTCGAGACGGAAGCCGGACCCCCATGGAAGCTGGCCGGACAAAAACAACATTGACTTGATTTTGCAAGTCGGAGGGCAGGGCATCTCTCCTGGCGAAACAAAAAGGGCGTGTTTGGTGGGTTGGTCGTCAACAGATGCAAATGTTTTTCGCACAGCCAGACCCAAAACAAGAGGTTCCTTGTTGTCCTGTCGCTGTCCTTGCCGCCCTGCGCATCTTTCTCTTAACTTCCATCCTGTCGTGTAACAATGCCTACCCCAACCAATCACCCTTTCCTCAAACCGTTTTCTAGTCTGAAGAAAGCGATCAAAAGATCACGCTCAAGGACGGCGCATCGATCGGCTGACGTCACTAGCCCCAGCTCTGACCCGCTTATCTTGATAACTCCGTCTTCGGCCATCCGTGCGGCGGACATAGCCATGCCAGTCGCCAGTAAGATACTTTTTCAATCTTCTTGCCCCACAGCGAACATTGATTGCTCATCAAATCAAATTTGTAGGTGATCCGGTTGAAGTCCCTGGGGAAGGAGTGGCTGAGCGCTCACAGCAAGTTTTACCTATCTCCGCTGGTCTGCATTAACCCCAAACCTCTATCATTTATTATTGTTAACACTGATATAGATTCCCTGGGTTCTTACCTGCCTACCTCTCACCCAAATGCTGCTGTTCTGAATGTAGGCCTGGTGTCAGTGGGTACTGAAATGACTGTTGCCTGTGAGATGCCCCTCAATCTGTTTGCTATGAAGTTGATATTGACCTTCATTGATTCTAATCTCACAGTTGGTCAGGTCGAAGGCCATGTGGAAGGAGCTGTTAATTTTTTGCAACACCCTTCTCCTATCTTGATTGGTTCATGCTTGCTTCAAATCTCTATATTCTGTTTCTGATGACTGTGTATAGATCCTCCAAGTTCTGATTCACCTATCTCTCTACCCATTTCTTCTGCTCTAAATGCAGAAGTGATGCCTGCCAGTCAGTACTTTTATAAACATGGTTTGGGCTTGCTCAAATCTGACAGACCATGCAGAGTTCTCAACAAACCTTCAAGCTGACATTATAAACAACATTTTGGCTCAAAATGTGAACACAGGCCCTAACTATGGTTTGTTGCATTTGGAGTATCACATTTTAGTGCTTTCACTGATATTTCAATAGGTACCATCAATCAAGGTAAGTTGTAAGAGAAGCATCATTCATGTTAATGTATTTGTGATTGGTAGGTGTGGACCCAAATATTCAAATTACCCTTGAGACAATTAGGGATGAACAACTGGGTATTACTGCAGGTTCTTATTTCAAATGCATAATTGACTTCATTTTCTTGTTACAGTCAAGGAGATTTATAAGTGGCTTTCCCCACCTAAAGAGTCTATTAACTACAATGCTGCATATGCAATTCTAAAGAGTCAACCAGATGCCTGTCAATGGTTTCTCAATGGGAATATATTTTCTGAGTGGCTCAAACAGCCTGACTTTCTCTGGATTAAGGGAAAATGTAAGTGTTCTGTCAAAATTTGGAAATTTATATGTTGCTGAAAGTCTATCCAGGTGGCTCTGGGAAAACCATTTTAAGGTTGAGAATTCCAATGTTTTTATGGAATTGAACTGATTTTTATTTTCACAGCTCAGCAATAATTTACAATATCCTTCACAGATTCAATTCTGCTACTGCATATTTCTTTTTTGATGGAAGAGACTCACAGAAGGATTTCCAGCTGCATGATAAACTGATGCGATCACTTATCTGGCAATTCTCTCTCAACTGTGAAGGTGGAGTGCCTAAAGTCTTAGTGAATCTGTATGCTCGCTGTGGCAATGGCCATCAAGAGCCAACTCTGGATGATCTGGAGAATACTCTTCAGAGAATTGTTGCTGGCTTCAGTTCAACATTTATTATTCTGGATGCTCTTGATGAATGTACTGAAAGAGAAAAGCTTCTTAACTGGATTGAGACTATTATATTGAAGAACAATATGAATCTTGGGCTTCACTTGATAGTTACTAGTCGCCCAGAACAGGAGATTGAGGATAATTTCAAGTTTTATCATTGTCTTGACTTGGCTGAGGAATCTGAGAATCATGATCTTGTAGCCTATGTTGTCTATCAGCTTCAGAATGACTCTGCCTTGCAAAAATGGAATTGTGACACTCAAGAGCAAATAAAGTTGACATTAATGAAACAAGCAGATGGAATGTATGTTTATTATCAACATTTAAATGACAGAATAATTATTGAATGCAATTTTAGGTTTCGTTGGGTTGCATTGCAGTTAAATGAGCTGAAAAAGTGCCGGACCAAGACTGATCTAAAAAAGCAGCTAGCTGATCTACCTCAGGGTTTGGAAAAAACCTATGATCAAATCTTGTTGGGAATCACAACAAAGGATCATGGTTATGCCAAAATCCTTCTACAGTGGCTGTCTTTTGCTGTTCGTCCACTGACACTGGAAGAGCTGGCTACAACTGTTGCTGTTGATCTTTCTGATGAAAATGGACCAGAGTATAAGTCTGATAATGAACTTCAAGATATTAGAGATGTCTTGAAAATATGTTCCAGTCTTGTTGTAAAATCAGAGGGTATGGTTTAGAATAATACCAGATTGAAATGAGCACTGACCATTAAATAGG